CATCTCTTTAATTCTTTCCAAACATTTGCTACTTAAAAAAAGATTGTTCACTAGTTAGCATAGAAGTGTTTCCATAATTTTGTCCAACTTCTGTATCAGAGCCGAGATGGATCAGGGGATAGTGAATTCGTCTTCCAATGAGGTTAACCGGGTTAAAAATTATTAGTTTCATGGAAAATTTTAAAATCAATCATATTCTTTAAGAGTCTGTTTGAGTATTCCTATTTAACATTATTCCATTATAAAAACTAGCTATTTGTAATTGAGAATTCAATGTGTTTTTAGCAGTATCTATGTTTAGTATGTAATTTGCTAATTTAGTGGTACTTATTAAAAATCGATTATGCTTCTTTAATAGTTCTTTTATAATTTTGAAAATTAAGTTTTACTCTGAAAAACAAGTTATTTTAATTTTTTAAAAATTCATGAAAAAAAATTCCATATTGAAATTTTAAACTCTTTAGATATTAAATATTTCATATTGAAAAACAGTTTCTTCCACTTGAGTTGGATGAAACCTATTTTTCTGAGGTGGTTTTTCCTATGGTTACTTCCTTTGTGGAAAAAACTTACCNCTTCCCCCCCCCCCCATAATAAGGCCTCTTGAATATTAAAATCTTTCATGTTAGCGTTTCCAATTATTTTGTTTTAAAACAACAATGAAATGCAGGGGTTGGGTAAAATTACAGAAATACTTCTATACTAACTCTATGTAAAATAAAAATGTTTAGGAAGATTTCACATGGCAATACTGTTGTCACAACATGAAATATCATGATTGAAGCTTTTAGAAATGGTGTCATTTGCTCATGAAAAATTCTGATCGAATGAAATGTGGAGTGAGAGTTAATAACCTATTTCTATCTTTTATACCAACGATTTTGAAATTATTTTGTAGAATTTAAAAATGTATCTTAGAATGCTTTTTTAATTATACTCGAATTGGAGAAAAACAATTTTTTTTAAACTTCCTACGCTCATTTTGGTTAATGTAAATTTTTCATGAGTAAAAAGGATACTAGCTGCAAGCATGATCTTTCTAATTGTACCAACGGTTTTGCCGCTCCCTTAATTCTTTCTAAACATTTGCTACTAAAAAAAAGATTGTTCACTAGTTAGCATAGAAGTGTTTCCATAATTTTGTTCAACCTCTGTATCAGAGCCGCGATGGCTCAGGAGATAGAGAAATCACCTTCCAATGAGGTGCACCGGGTTCGAATCCCAGCAATAACTGGTCGATACGAATTCCGCCTCCGGCTTTCACTGACCACAGTGCTGTCGTGAAATATTCTCAGTGGTAGAGGGATGATGGGTTAGTCTCCTTGCCATCAGGCTAACTGTGGGAGGTTCTCGTGGTCTTTCTCTCCACGTAATGTAAATGCGGGTTAGTTCTATTAAAAAGTTCACCACAAAGGCAAAATTTATCCCAATGCTTTACCCAGGAGTTCTCTTGTCTTCTGGATTGGGTTCATAATTACAAGGCTACGGAGTTGAACATTAGTAGTCGTAAACCCAAAAAATTGGGTCAGCTGTTCAACGACGGTTATAAAATAAAAAAACCCTGGTTTTGTAGTTTAGACCACATTAGTTTAAATCAAAAATTTAAAAAAAAAAAAAAATAACAAGCTTTTTTTTATTATTAAATTTTCTAATAAATATATAAATACTTTCAGTTTGATTGTAACAAAATTGAAAAAAAGCGAACGTTTTCAGACATTTCTTGCAATTTTGAGTTTTGTTGCTAATGGGAATCTGTATTATTTTAAATAAACAAAAATCTGCAATTTTCAAGTGTTTACATCGAAATCATTTTGCACAAAAATATCTACGTTAAACCGAGTTGGCGTTTTGTTTGGAAGAAACTGGTAAAAATGGAAACTAAATCTGACCAATACAATTGTTTAACAATAAGTATTATAAGAATAACTCAAAAAAATTAAATTTAACATAGTAGCCGAAAGTTGAAAATTTATCAAGTTTACTTTTTCTTAAAAAAATTATTTGTTTATTTATTTATTAGCTTCATAGAAAATTTTAAAATCTATCATATTCTTTCAGAGTCGGTTTGAGTATTCCTATTTAACATGATTCCAATAAAAAAAACTAGCTATTTGTAATTGAGAATTCAATGTTTTTTTAGCAGTATCTATGTCTAGTATGTGATTTGTTAATTTAGTGGTACTTATTACAAATCGATTATGCTTCTTTAATAGTTCTTTGATAAATTTGAAAATTAAGTTTTACTCTTTAAATAAAATACTAAAAAACAAGTTATTTTAAATTTTTTTCAAATTCATTAAAAAAAATATTCCAGATTGCAATTATAAACTGTTTAAAGAAATTCTTTAAATATTTTTTATTGAATAAGAGTTTCTTCACTTCAGTTGGATGAAACCTATTTTTCCGAGGTGGTTTTCTAATGGTTACTTCCTTTGTGGAAAAAAACCGTCTCTTATATAAAATAAATTCAGCAAATTTAAGCTTAAGTCAATGTCTCTTAAAAATGCTTAAAATAAAAAAAAAGAGGTCCCATGTTCTGTAGTTTGTAAAATTAATTAAATAATGTAATTATTGAAAGAGTTCAAGTTTCTCAAAGTTTATTTTTATATTAAAAACATTATGTTCACAAGTCAAAAGTATAAATAGGAATGAGGTGTAATCTAAATTTTATTTTTTAGTTTAATTTTAAAATTATTTTCTGTCACCAGTGTAAATAAATTAGTGTTGTATTCATGCAGTATGTTTATATTCATTATTGTAATTTTCAAAGTACAGTTTTAACAATATTAAAAAAAAAAAAAAAAACTCTAAACGCACTGACGGTTCTGCACGTAAAAAGTAGTATTTTAACCTGCACTCTACTCCATTTGGCAGAACCGGTTTTTTTCATGTTATTAGATAAGGAAATAGTGTATTGGTAAGAAACATTCTCCCAATTTTGCCCATTTGCTAAACCGCTAGTGGATTAAAGAAAAATACTAAATTCTCAAAAAATATTTATATATATATATAATCTTAAGTTTTTTTCTTATTTACTTAAAGCTACAATACATCAAAAAGAATATTGTTAAATTTAAATCTCCATCATGTTAAAATGAATGATAAAAAAGCAATTAATTCTTTAATTTTGAAACTGTTATTTGTGTTCTTTATTTTTAAACCTTTATTATTTTATGTGTTCCTATTTCAGCAGTCAATTATCCGTTCTCATTTTTTTTAATCATTCTATGAATTTTTAATATTTTTAAAATAGAAAAAATATACTGCCTTAAAAATGTCAGCCTCATTTATATTAAAAATTTAATTAACTCAATAAATAAAAAACAAATGTTTATTTTAGAACAATTAAGCAATACTAATACTACAAATTGTATACTGCTAAATAAGGTCATTAATGTAAATAATTCTGAATTACGACAATTCTTTATATACTAACAATTAAGTAGGTAAACTAATTTTTACATACATGCTGTATGAAAAAAACTTTTAGGTAATAAATATTTATTTGCTTGTTAAGAGGTGTTGTAATAAATATTCTAGATCTTTTGTTATTAATATTTTTACTATGTTCCTTCACATATTTATGAGCAAAAGAGAATATTTTTGTTTAGTATTCTTTATCAAAATCTAGTATTCTTCATCAAAATATTAATCAATAGTAAAAAATCTGTGATTTCTGAGAAAAACTTTATAATGGTTAAATTGCTGACTTATTTAACTTTTTATTTTAAATAAACAAAAAAAACTAGACATGTAAATAAAAATAAATAAAAAATAAAAACCTGGCGAAAATAGTATTTTGTGAGAAAGAAACAGACTAAAACGATTATACCAGGTATTCTGTCAACCCCTGTAGCAGAATTTTTTCAGCTTTCTGCGACAACACATGCTTTGGCACTGATATCTTTCTGCAAGATACTTTCAATAATAGAAAATATTTATGTTACTAATTTAAAGTAATGAAAACGCTGTGTTTACGAAAAAAAAAAACATACAATTATTTTTATTGAATATGTGATATTTATGAATACAGGGGTCTGTCCAGGCCAAATAATTTACCACCGTTTAGCGGTACCTTCACAAATTCAACTTTAGGAAAAACAGTCGTTTCACAAAATACTTTTTCTTAAAATTTTATTTTTGTATCCCATCAGAAACGATAAATCCATATTTTTACCACATTTTTGTGCTAATTTTTTAACATAATTTTTACAAATTATGTCTAAATTTTCACAAAAAAGGTACCTCACAGTAAAACCTAGATAGACTCCTGGTATACTTTTTATGACAAGGACTCTAAAACGAAATATGAAAGGCGATCATTAGAACAACCCTGAATTAGTTTCTGACATTAAATTACCTAATCTTTGTTCTTATTTTTACTTGATAGATTTTAACTCTGTTTTACTGTTTTAACTGAATACAAGCTGACAGAAAAGTATAGAAATGATCAAATGTCACGAAAAATTGTATTTAATAAAAAGTCTGAAAATTAAAATCTTAGATAAGAACTCCCATTTTTTTTAAAATCGCAGATTTTAAAAATTGTCTTGGGTGGTACTTCGAAAAACTACTCCCCCTAACTGGAGAGTCTCTCAGGAGGGGTGAGACCAAGATTGGGGATGGTGAAATTGGTGTCATTAGTTTGGTTTTTCAAAACATCACACGATGAACATTATTTTTTCGATCTGACAAGCATTTTCAGAGACTTTGAACAATGTTCACCTTATTTTCATTTCGCAATTGCAGCACTATATGGAACTAATATTCGAAGACGAAGAATTTTTCTGCAGAATTTAAATCTGCAAAAAAAAATGAGGGTTTTCATTCAAGATTTAAAGTAGCTCCCACTGTGGTTAAAGGGTCAAATTCGGCATTGAAAGAAGTTGTGAAAATATTTCATAAATGTTTTTTTAATAAATTTTTATTAATGCAATTTCTCCATTTCCATACTTCCTGTATACCCTGTATATTAAATATTAGTTTGCTTTTTTTTTTAGATGTAAAAGCTATTTTTTGTGGTCATTTTCATGGCAACGCCGGCGGATTTTACGAAGAGTTGGAAATAGTTGTAACATCAGCCATTGGAGTACAAATGCGAAAGGATAAATCTGGCTTTAGAATAGTGGTAGTTGACGAAGACAGTATTAAACATAAATATTATGCTTTAGATGAAGTTCCTCAGACCATATCTTTACAGCCGAAGAACTCTGAATTATGTTTAAAATAAATTATCTTGCTATTAGTGTCTGAATATAACATTATTTCATCAATAAAAATATTTATTTATCAACTTTTTGACAAATGTTATTTATTTAGAGCTTCCTTTACTCTTTATTTTGAAATTAGAGAGATTTTGCATATTATGCTACAGCAACCATAATGCTAACCTTATTTTCAACACATTAGCGGATTGCTGAGAAAATTTCAAAAAATTGTTAGTAATGCTTTGCAAAATCTCTCTATTGACAATCTACAGCGAGTAACCACATATGGCGCTAACTTGGCGGTCATGGGGATTTCCCCATGACCGCCAACTTTACAAAGTAGTAAAATAATCAAAAAAGAAAAAAAAATTCGGAAACTATTCTACTTTGCCAACATTTAAATTCATTACCTACTCTATATACATAGATTTGTATTATTGATTAGCATTAGTGGGAAAAAAACCTTTTTTTTAAATAATAATTAAAAAAAAAAAGGTTTATGTTATTAAATATAAATCTTATACATAATCTTTTTTAAAAATTTTACTAAATAACCATGCAAGCTGGCAATGAGTAACTTAATTATTAAATAACAACGAGTTACAGTTCAGATCTAACTAACATTGATTAGATTATTAACTTTTTAAAAGTTGAAGTTAGTGTGTCTGCATCTCTCTCAGAACTCCACATCAGTAAAATTTGAATATATACATACTATAACATGCATATAACTTCAATAGCTACTGCATTAAGTAAACTTCTTCTTTAAAATATTTTGCATTGAAAGATTATAGTTAAAAAAAATTAAAAAGAAAATTATTATTATCCAAAGTAATTCTGAAATTATTAATAGCTGTAAGAAAATCTGTTTTATTATACCAAATATATTTAAACTTTAAAATTTGATTAATCAAAATATTTTTTTTATCATATAATCCAATTAAAGTATCTTTATGAATTTTAATTTCAAGATCCAAGAAATTGGCTGGTTTAATATCTGAGTAAGTCCTTATTTAATTAAGTTCTTTAGGATAAATATGATTAATCAAATCTTCAATAAATCTAAACCTTATTAATAAATTATGTTGTAAAAATTTTTGTTCATAAAAATGTAAATAAATATTAGCAAAAGCACTGGAGTAACAATTACCAGTGGAAATACCTTGAATTTGTTTATTAAAACAAATACCATGAAAATTTGTTTTTTGCAAATATGTTAACATTACATAAATAATCCATCCTTCCCTAATAATATCCTCATTAATATTATAGATATCAAAAATCTCAAAACAAATGTGTTTTGAGTTATTGTGTGGTATACTCATAAATAAATTTTCAAAATCCCATGTAAGAATAGTTTCAATTTTATTGCAATTCAAATATTTAATAACGTCTTGGTTGCTATTTATAATAATATGTTTATCATTAGAAATAATCTTACTTAAAATTATGTTTAAATATTTGATACATTTTTTCCCCGAAACAGATTTATAATATCCAGTACAATAAGTAACAAATCTAAATTTAATTGGAATTTTGTGAAATTCAACAGTTGGAAATAAATAAGGATAATTAATGCTATTGAATTTTAAACTATTTTTTTTTAGAAAATGCTAAAATTCTATTATCAATTTCTTTTCTAAAATTATTAATTTTGACAAGGGTATTATTGTTTTCATATTCTTCATTCATCAATTGTTTTAAAAATTTTTTTGCAAATAAAGCTAAAAATTATGAGATGCTTTGTCACCATCACAAATAAATACAATAAATTATATTTCAATTCAAATAAAAACGAATTCAAATAAAAACATTGGTATTTAGAATTTGAAGCAATTTAAAATTCCAAATTTCCATTCACCAAAACCTTCCATAGGCCAAGTAAATTTTCTAGATCATTTGGCAATAAAACAATCCTAATTTTTACTAACAGAAGCAAGAATAATTTTTATATTACATTTTTTCTTGGTCTGAACTTAGTCCCAAGCCCCATGATAGAACTCAATTCTTCATTTCAGATCAAATTAAGGTCACCTGTAACAATTTGTTTAAAATCCTTGTTAATAAAATCCTTATAACGTGTTAGTTCACATAAACAAATATCTTCTATATGATTTAAATTTTTACTAGATTATAATTACAAATTCTTTTCTTTAATGTTTTACAAAAGTTATAACAAATAGAAACTCTGATTTTTTTATTTGACTGGGAAACAATCATTAAGTTTATAAATAGTCATAGGAAGTGAACCTCTTTAAAAGTCCTTATTAAGAAAATCAATAACGCAAAATTCTTTCTTAATTTTTGAAATAATAAGAAAGATTAGTTTTGTCCACAGCAAAATCACGAAACATTTAAAATATCAAAATCGTTAATCAAAAGTTAAAATTTAATAAGATCTAATATAATGGATTTAATCTCAGAAGCAAATTTTATAATTTTTAAATGTTCTTCATCATCTACTTCAACGATGAATTTTTATTACCAAAAATAAAACTCCTAATTTAATATTATTTTCAATGACATGCAATAAACACAAAGTTTTAAAAAGAACTAGATTAATTTTATTTTTACATTTACCTTTTCCTCTACTTTCTTTAGTTTTACATGAAAAATTAAATTTATAATTAAAAGTGTTACATTTATTTTAATTACAAATATTATTTAAATCTGAGTTACTTTCTCCATTTAATTTACTATTAAGCCCATAAGGATGTAAAGTTTTCAATTGACAAATAAGAGTATTTTCATAATTATGGGGTCTCGGGGGCACAGTCAGTTTTTAGTTTCACTACTGACTACAGTAAGGCTCCAGCAAGTTAGCAGGACAGTGTGTCCCTGGAAGAAGTACTGTTTTTGAGGATATGCTTATTTTTGAAATTTCGTTTGGTTTTAGGTTATCCCATATTCAGGGGATAGAGAGCATTTGCCTTACAATGAGGTGAACCGTGTTCGAATCCCAGCGATGGCTGATCGATATGAATTCTGCATCCGACTGGCACTGAACGCAGTGCTGACATGAAATATCCTTAGCGGTAGACGGACCATGGGTTAGAGTCTCCTTCTCGTGAGGGTAACCGCTTGTGGTTTTCCTCTTCATGTAACGCAAGTGCAAGTTAGTTCCATAAAAAAGACCTCCATGAAGGCAAAATTTCCCAAAATACTTGATCCAGGATTTCCCTTGCCTTCTGGATTGGGTTCAAATTTACAAGGCTACGGAGTTTAACATTAGTATACATAAACCAAAAATTGGGTCGGCTGTTCAACGACAGTTATAAAATAAAAATGTACTAAAGACAATTTTGGTTTTATGTATTTTGACTTATTGTATTTAAATTTTGATCTTCATTTTTGCTTAATTCCAAATTTTGTACCTTTAATGCATTTCCCCTGTTACTAGTTTTTGTTTCTCCTAAATTTTGTGAAATACATCCATGCATGAAAATCAAATACTTACATTATTACAATCAAATGCATTACTTATTACAAAATGAATGAGATAGTTATTGCAACATAATAAATATTATTAATTTTTTTAAAAGAAATATTAAATTAATAAAAACTAATGTGTAATTTCAAAGTATTATATTTTTTCAATTTAATCTGTATATTATGGAGAGTTTGTTAAAATTATCTGAGAGTTAGTTAAAATTCAATATGGGTATTTTTTTACACAAATTTATAAATTGGGCCACAAATTTGTCACAACTTCCAAGATTTCAAAATTTTGAAGGAAAATTCTGACAAGCAATTGCGTAATTTTTACGCCTTGTCAAAAATTACACAATTGCTGTAGATAAAAACAAATATTTCTTCTTATTATTTCGCTGAAAGATATTTGAACGGAACACATTTTTCCATTTTTTTTACTGCGAGATTAATATGTAATATTTTGAATTGCACATTTGAGTAATTGTTCCATTTGGCGCAAATTTCATTAAAACTCCAAGTGGTTGTGAATTTCGAACCACGCATTTGAATAATAAACTTTTTACACACATGTTAAACTTGCACCAACTTTGTTGTGCATTCACATGGTTTTTCGAACCACTTTTCCGGCAGTTACAACCATGTATTTCTACGTAATATTAAAATTCCTAATATTTTACCACACAGCAAATTGTCACATAACACTTTATGTAAATACCATGAAAATTTTGTTACAGCACTGCTTCTTTATACCTAGATAATTCCTATATTCTTCTCTATGAAGTCAAATAAATTTTCAGAAACTACAGAAAAAGAAGATTATTGGTATAACTGTGAAGAATGAAAAGATTGTTTAGGATTAAATGGAAAAAAAAGTAGTTACCATGCATAAATTAATACATGGTGTGAATGGAGAAATGATTCTGAAGAGCATATTCAAAAAATCGAAGAATTAATTTTTCATAACTGTGAACCGACATTTCTGGAATACTATGTGAAAAGCTATATCAAGCTAGGCAATATAAAAAATAATTGGACCTTTTATCTCCTGAATCAGAAAATTTTAAAACAGATTACAAAATTGTCCCAATTGAAGTTGTATTTGTCTAGTTAAGCATATATTGAATTGTCTGGTTTTCTTATGTGACATTAAAGTTATTTTTAAAACCATCAAGATGTAAGATTAAACGAGAAGTAAGAGCAAAATAGAAAAAGATATGAGTAACTGGACATAAATGTTTATCAATATTGTAAAATATACTCACTGTGTTGAGCAAACAGAATTTAGAACCTCATCTACTAGGCATGTCACAAGTTCACATATTCAATTAGTACCATCTTATTTCCCTACAAAAATAATTCATAGAATTAGTGAGTTAAAGTATAATTGTACTTTATAAGCAATAGGTTATCGGTATTGGAGGTTTTGTCAGAAATGTTTTTAATACCTTGAAAATTAATTTCAATATCAAGTTTTACAAAATGTTAAATATGTGACAATTTAACTTTGAAAGAATATTAAAGATTAAATGCCTTTACTGGTTTAAGCAGGTTTAAAGACCCCTTAAAATACCTTTATTTTAAAGGGTCTTTAAGCCTGCCATGGCTACTGCCTTTGCTCAAATTAAAAGACCAAAATAGACAACTAAAATAAATGAAAAAAATACTTAATTTTTCAAGAGTATAATTGCCAAGGTGTGTTCTAAAAACATGCCATATTGAATGAAATAACACAGGCACACAACCTATTTGAATTTGGTTTATGTAAGGCAGCAAAAGACACTCTTTTCTTTTGTAAATCTGAGAATTTATCATATTTTTTTAGCAATTTAACATTAGTGGCAAAAGTATTGTTTTTTCAAATATCAAATTGAAATATAATACAAATATAAACTTATTTTTTATGAAACCTTATAAAAAATAAATATTTGAAATTTGCTTTTAAGAAATATTGTTTTATTAGTGAATAAAAAGCTTTGATAGCAAAATTAAAAACCAAATATTATTATTTAATAAAGCAAAAATGATAAAACAATGAAAACTCTAATGTAGCTATAGAAACAGAAGTTGTAATATGCTAATTCTATCACCTTCATTAAATAATTTAAAATTTAAAGCATAGAAAAAGTGAATTTAGATACATTTAGATTAAATCATAATCTCTTATAAAGGGTAAGTGAATAAAAGGAATTTACTGGGCAATATTTAAAAACATCAATATGAAGTTGTTGAAAAAATCTATGAATAATCTATATATAATTGAAGTTAAATCTTGATCAACGTAAGAACATTTTTGAAACAAAAATGAAATAAACAATTAAAACCCAATATGTTAGAATCTATTAAAAATTAATTATTGTAAAGATAAGCACCAATGCAAATCTTAATTGAGTGATAATAATTTAAAAAGAAAATAGTTACAAAAAACAACATAATTTTAACATAAATAATCAAACCATCCTAAAAAGAAAGTAACAAATAGATAAACAACCCATATTTAATTAAAATTAATCTATATTTATTAAATTAAGTCAAATAGAATAAATAACTAATAAATAATGCTTTTCATCAACTGATAAACAGTAAATAAATAAATAAACAAATGAAAAAAATGCAATATTTATAATCCTTAGCTATAAAAAAAAAATTTTCTTCTCCCTAAAATATGAAATAAAGTTGCAAGTAGACGAAAAATAAAAGAACATATTAATTAATAAAATAAAAGAGCTTTTCAACAACTAAGTCATCCTAAAAAAATAAATAAAATAAAACTATGTTAAAAAAATATTATACAAATAATCTGTATTTAATTAAATTTAACCACCTGATGATTATTTTTATGAATAGAAGGAGAAAAAAACTATGAAAATGTAATATGTTAAAATTTTCTTTTTTTAAAAAGAAATGAATCGTAAATAAGATGGATAGATAGATAAAAAACATAAATTATGATGGTAAAAAAGCTAGACTAATAAAAAATATTTAAAAAAAAACTTTTTTTATTGAAATACCAAACCAACACAAAAAGAAACTAGCAATAAGTTAATTACTGATGGGTCATTTAATTAAAGTTAAGCCAAATTATAATAAACTAAAGATTTATTAAAATCATGAAATTAACTAATATAAAACAAAATTACTGATTAGAAGAACTAATTTAGTGAGTATAAAACTTATTGTGATCGAAAAAAAACCCCTTAAAATGTAGTGGAATGAGAAATTATCACTTGCAAAAAAAGAAAGCTGCAATACCCTTCATAAAATGATTGTCTGCTTTTAGTAATAAATTGTATGTTTAAGTATAAACTTTCTTCTGCTTTTATTTATAAAAGAGAAAATTTTTAAGCATATGTGATTCTACATCAGGCAAAACTTGCAAATGAAACTGCACTTCTGAGGAATCAGAATTTATATTTTTTCCAGTTTTCCTGATATTCCCGGTGCATACGAACCCTGTATGAACTTCAATTCAAAAACAATAGAAAACAACCCTATAAAGACAGCATACTACTGCCTCCAATAATGTATTTTTTATCTATAAATTAGGAACCTTTCAATAATACCGACAGAAAAGATGGTGCAACATTAAAGTCATTCTTTTATTTTAATTAATTATTCCTTGGCTACGAAAGTCTTTTTAAAATTAAAATTGTTTACTTCTGAAATAAAAAATTAAAACCTTAAATATGTTATTCTAGGTCAGTGGTTCCCAAATTTTTCGGCTGTATGGAACCCCAAATTATCACCCCAACTTCATAAACTAAGTTTATTACGATAATTGAAAATGTTATATAACCTATAAAATACTATTTTTAATATATTTTATTAGAGATAATACGCAATTAGAGAAAAGAAGATATTTCATCGTTTTACTAGTAGTAATCTTAAATTAGGTTTTAAGTCCGACAGCTAAATTAGCAGTCCTTTATGCTATTATCTAGTCCAGTTATGAATTTGTTTATATACACAGGAGCTGAAAATGAATAAAATAAGCCGAATTATGGTTTACTGTGAAATGAAATCTTAAAGAACTGCTATAAACGTTAAAAATAGTTATCAGGGAAACACATTTATTTATTAAAGAATTTAGTTATTTTAATTTGAATACTAATGCAATGTTTCTTATTTTCATAATATGATCCATATTTTGTTATTAGAACTATTATATATATATATTTTTGAAAGGTGCCATTACTATTTCATTGACCTTTTACTAGAAATAATTTCATAAAGGCAACTGAAAAAGGAAGTAAATGATAAATTATAGGTTGGATCTGAATATAATCGGAGGTTTCAAAACTGATCACTGGTTATATAAAAAAAAAAACTAACAGATCCCCTTTAACACTTCCATGGAGTCCTAGGGTCCTGCGGAACACCATGTAGGAACTGCTCTGTTCTAAGTAATATCTTAAAAAACACAAAGTTTTTTTTTTAAACCCTGATTAAAGCATAACTTATTTTTAGTCTTTTTTTAAAATTATTTATCCCTTTTACTATTTTAATATATAACTTTAAGTCATGTTAAAAACGCCTTTAGATTTTGATAACATTGGCTTTTCCCTACATTAATTCTAGTTTTAATGATTGCTGCCAAACAGAAAGTTTTCTTCATTGAAGATATTATTTTGTAGAATTGTAAACCCGCTTTGAATTGGAAAGACGGTGATTCGTAAAAGACCTAAATGAGTGACCCCATGCAAGTACACTAAGAAAATATAAAGGCCTGAATCTACCTTGCCATTAAAAAAAAACATTCAACTTGACACAAAGACAAACAACAACAAAGTGGAGCCAAATGGTTGTATTCCAAAATATGTAAACAAATCTCTTACATGATCAATTAATCAAATCTCTTACATGACAAATCTACCTACATGATATGTATTTCTACTTTTAAAATAAGTCTCCGATTGCATAGTACCCAGTTCTAGTGAGATTTTAAAAAATAAACATAAAAACTCAATAAAAACAATGAATTGACATTAAAATTGACATTCATTAATAAAAATATGAGCAATAAAGATTAAAATATCTTGAGTATGTGTCTCAATTTGATCAATAAAAGAGGATATAAATTATATTAAATGATTATGATACTTACACTGGTATTGTCGATGGAGTCTAAGCTCCATTTTTCTTGGCTATTGCTAGCTGTTGGACATTCGTTGTTTGTTGACACATCCTCTCAATATCTGGATTTTCAACCAGGTTTATGGTTAATTCTAACGAAAGAACAAAAATAAATTAAAAATTATGAATAAAAATCAAGAAAAAAAATTGAAATAAAGTCAGTTCAATTACAAAGGTGATTTGAAATTCTGAGAATATTCAAAATGAATATTCTTTAAACCTATATAGGCTTAAGGCATAAGTTAAAGACAATATTATTCAAAAAATTTATTTTAAAAAAATAGTTTCATCCCCCTACTAAATTTTGAGGAATAAAATTCAAAATAGAACATTTGTATCATCATGGAGGTAAAGGATGCTTATCCCTTAATTGTTGTCAGAGGTCTGTCTAGTTTAGTTTTTTCTGAGAGGTACCTATTTTGTGAAAATGTAGACATAATTTGTGACAATTAAAAATTATATTAAAAAAATCAACACAAAAGTATGGTAAAAATATGGATTTATCGTTTTTACGAGACAAATAATAAAATTTTAGGAAAAGGTATTTTTCCGGATAGGAATTTAACTAGCATTTTTCCTAAAGTTGAATTTGTGAAGGTACCGCTAAACGATAGTAAATTTGGCTTGGACAGACCCCTATTTGTGCACACCAACCTCTGAATTTGCTTTCTCAGTTTCTTTTAGATTGATTTGCTCTTTTGGGTTTCAGTTTGACTTAGTTTGCATGTTGACACTCTTTTTAAAATTGTTAAAACTTGAAGTGCTATTACATATGAGAGTAAATTTATAAGTATCTAGATATATAATAGTATTTTTGGCACTATTACAGACATGAGGCATAAAATTTTTTATTAGACATCTATTACCACCATACCTGTAATAGCTATTGCCATTATTAATTAAGCATCACAGGCTTCAATAATATGTTGTAAATTTTTTATGGCCTCTTGAAATGGAATTGTATCTCCATTTCTCTCATATAATGCTCAAGAAATAGGGTTGGATTTTTGCATTGCTTTGAAATTGGTGCGAGCAGGTGACAATACAGGAATATTCCAGTTCATAAAGACTTTTAAAAAATTGGAAATGAAATGTATTTGAACTTAACTTTTTTCTTATTCTAAAATATATAAATGTTGCTTTTTTGCATCTTTCGCTAGTAGATATGTACAATGTTTTAGAATTAGTTTTTTTTTTTAATAAAATTAAAAATGGATCTTAAATCTAAAAGGGGATAGTCATTTTATTAAGTGGAACAAAATGAAAATACCATACTGAAACAAAATAAAAAAAAATTAAATACAGAATTTTAATAATGTACTTCAGCAATCAGCATCTAATTTTGCTACCAGCTTATTGATCTCAACTAGATTTGAAAATTCTGCATCTATTTCTTATTTAAAAAATTATTTACTAAATGCGATTCAAAAAAGACAATCATTTATTTGAAAAGTTTAAGATTTAAACTGCCTATTTTTGCCCGTCTAAAGGCTAAGAATGAAGAAAAGGAGAAAAGAAAACTCAGTGCGATGACGAATATGTGCACAAATTCACGATCGCAGCGCTTGAACGCCTCCTTTGGCGGGTAGTGTATTTTCAGGCTTTTATTTATTAAATTTTCCTTTATTTCTGTCAAACACATTGGCAGAGTACAACCAACACCTCCTAGAAAGAACAGGCCTCAGGACGGGTTACCATAAATATCCCTTAGCAGTCCAAAAGGAATGACATATTTTGTATTTTCAACTTCTGCGCAGCTTAGTACCCCTAACGTAATGACATCTTTCTTATTTTTCGTCTACTGCGCAGTTCACATCGGACTACTAAATTGATCCGTGCTGAGGCCTTTCTACTTCTAAGAGGTGTTGGTACAACGCCATTTATTTAGCAGCAGATATAAAGCAAAATTTCCCTAAGGAAAAGGCAGAAGAACTTGAAAAAAAAGAGAAAAAAAAAAAAAGAACGATCTAGAACAGGGGTTTCCAACTTACATGAGGCCGGGGGCCACAATTAAGAACACAAAGCAAATGGCGGGCCGCAACTTTATCAATATTTTATGTAGGACTCTTTTATGTTTGAAGGAACATTAAATATTACTGCCAGATTTTTACCAAGTTGTACAAAATAAAAGTATTGAATTACAAATTAAAATAAGAAGTAGATTTTTCAAATTATTTAATTGCATATTAAAAAATTCGAGCTACGATAACTTTAATGTCCACCCATGTATTAAACAATAAATGTGCAACAGATATCTAATTGTTAAGATATAAAACTTTAAAAAGGTTGGTATTAAAACTTACATAGAAGCACATAAATTGTTCAATAACAAAATTGAGGTTTGTCTGCTGCAACCACCAGAGAATAGATATTTACATTTTAAATTTACAAATGTGTGTGTAAATATTTTCGTCCAAAATGAGAGGTTTCAAAAAGTTAAATCGAACAATTTCTTCGAGAAAATTTCTGATACATACATGCTAAATTATATTCACAAATTACAAGAAATGGAATAAAAAAGAGCAATATATACGATTAATTTTGTATTTGATGTTGTTGTTATTGTTGTTGTTAATTTACGTCACACTAGAGCTGCACAATGGGCTATTGGCGACGGTCTGGGAAACATCCCGGAGGAATTTTGTATTTGAATAAATATTTTCTTGGATGCAAAACCAGAGAAATAATTTTTTTTGCACCGTTGATATGATAAATTTCACAGAAACGAAGAAATTATGTTTTTATTAACGAGAAAAGTATTTTAAACCCATATAGATATTTTACGAAAATTGTCCTCAAAAAAATGACAACTAATATATTTTCGTTCGCGGGCCACAAAAAAATGTTTCGCGGGCAGAATGCGGCCCCCGGGCCGCCAGTTGGAAACCACTGATCTAGAACAATGGTAAATTTTTTCGAAACAGAGCACGCCAAACATTTGAAGAACAGTTTCTCAATAATTTTTATCTTTCTATTATCAACAAACTGGCAACCGATAACTTCTGATTTCGTGTTCGCATACTGTTGCACATGTGTGCATTAGGGCGCTTTTTCATTACACGACACGATACCGACAAAATCGGACGACAAATGTGTGAACGACAATGTCGTTGCCGGATCGTTCAAGCAATTGTTTTTTCACTTGTCCGATATCGTTAGTCCGAGAAGTAGACATTCTTGTTCATTCAATGTTTTGAGCTTCAGTGTGTAGAGACATAAAATTTAAATAATTTATTTGAACGTGTTTTGAAAAATTATAAGTTTTAGTTATGAATTCGTTTTGGCAACGGAGTTAGATATATAATAAATGTTGTTGTGTTCTAAAATGTTTAAGAAATAAAGTATGTTATTTTTTTGATAAAATTATTTGCAGTATCGTAAATTGGCGTTCATTTAATTTAGTTGGCACAAAGACCCAACAAGTGAGCAGTTGCTTGTGTTCTGCTGTGATTTTTTTCTGTAAACTTTAAATATGCCGGATGATAATCGTCGTCTCAAACTTCTTACTTTATTTTAGAAGAAAAAAGCTAGCAGTGCAGAAACGTTTTTGGGTGCACGAAATGGTACTGACGTATTAACGCCACCGCAGCTACAGATTTGGCGGTTTTTAAGTGCCGCCAATCTACACCTAAAATTTTTGCGACAGACAATCATTTTGCGACCAATCAGGAAATAAAACACTCTATTTAAAATCTAAAAATTCAAAACACTTTATATAAAATCAAAGTAGTCAATTGGATTTCGGTGGAAAATGGGCCGATATAGAGTTTAGCTATATTCTTAAAACAGTCTCCAGATGTCACCAGATGTTGTCGTCATATGAACTCTGATAAATAAGATTCCAAATGATGTCTCGCTGTCCCACAATGTCTTTTGTTTCTCCATTTAGCACTGCCCCTTATTCTCTCAACTGTTTGTGTATTATTAACTCCTGTATAAGGATTTTTAAAATGTATACAAATACCTACTTGTTAAAGTATTTGTATTTATGATAAACCTTAGCAAGTAGGAATCCTTCTATTATCTTCGTTTGATAACCTTTCCAACTGTCAGAATAAATTGTGCTACCATCTATGTCCCACTTGCTGATCACACTGTCTTAAATTACATTTCCAAAACGTACGTTTACCAAAATAAAGTTTCATGTCATGGGAATTGGTACATTTTCGTTTTCTTTTGGGTAAAATATTTCGCTACTGAAAAAATAAAATTGCATCTTGTTTTGTTTTTGGCAAATCCAAAAGATGCATTTTCGTAGCACTTAAAAATGGCGTCAGAAAACAGCAAACAAGGCAACATGGAATCCAAAAGATAACTGCGTGAGAAAACGGGGTTGATGTGTGCGAACAACAGGATTGCTCTTTATTGGCGCAACTTCTGCAACATCGTAAGTACCCACGAAATAAATGAGGCAAGATATGTTGAAGAAGATTTCTATGTGCTTTTCCATAAGCTACAAAAAGTCCCAAATAAATTTTTTAATTACGCCCGAATGAGAGAAACCAAGAACAAGAATGATGTTAATGAGGAATAATTTTTATATGGCTTTTGAGTTGGCGTCTGCTCGCCAACTTATGTCTGTAATCACTTAACATTACTTAAATTCTTTAAATGTTTTAAAGTATTAACGTTTTTTTAAAAATCGAATTAAAATATTAGTTTAATTTAGAATAATCTTTTTAGATGATTTTTTAAATGAGTTTTGTCAAATTTATCTTATGAAGCCGCTCTATCATGTTTCAAAAAAATGTTTCAGTTGAATCAGGGAACAGACTTTATATTATTCAATCAAGCAGAAACCAGTAGTTAGATCGAGTTCTGTTTGAAATACATAAGGGTCTTTATTTGCCTTCTTATCAAACCATTACTATTATAAAAAATACCATCCCTTCATTAAAGCATATAATGAATTTATAAAAATTTTCAATGAAACTTTTATGATTGTTTACGTCTTTCAACCTCATTATAATGTAAAAAATGCAACTTCATAAAATTAAAAATTTATAACCAGACATGAGAATAAATTATATAAAACTTTTAT